CGGAAAACAAGAAACAGGAGCTGCTCACTACTATACAGGATTGGTATACAGATTATGAACCAAAGGATGTTGATAACTTTTATGATGATTTATTACATATTATTGAGAAATGGAAAACTTAATATGTATGTGAATGACAAATTGGTTCAGGGCTGGAGTAAAATCCTTAGAAAGGTGCAAAGAGAATGGAGTGCAAATGATAATGAAATCAAGCAAGAGGCGCGGAGTAAGTACTGAACAGACTTTGCAGGGAGAATCGCTAAAGGCAAGAGCTTGGGTGACATGTGGAAGGAAGTGAATAAAGTGCGAGGTGTTCGAAGCAAGGGCAACAGCTACGCTGACGCACAGGGCAGGGCCAGACAACTTATTACGAAATGGGCTGGGACTGCTAGTTTTGCCGAATTACCTCAGTGTGCAGGCCTCATTACAAAGTAAGAGTAGACTTAGGTGTGAGTTAGTACAATGTCAGTGTACACTGGAGGATGATACACGTGTTCCTATAACAAGAGGCGAGTTATTATATGCTATTATAAAGGGAAAGTCTACGGCAACCGGTAATGGTGGAATAACATGATATCCTAAACTGTCTGGCTGGTATTAGAGAAGGGCCCCTGTTAGACTTGTTTAATGTCTTATAATGGAGGTTGTATCCTTCTTAAGTGGAAGAAAGCAAAAATTGTACCAATACCAAAGAACATTGGAGATTTTCGTCCAATACCTTTGACGTCTTGTTTTAGTAAAATGATGGAAAGAATAGTATTTAACAGGTTGTTGTATTAAGTGGAAAATCTCTTGGCGCTCAATTTGCATAGATTTATGAAAGGGAGAAGTACTGCAGACTGTGTTGTAAAGTGTTTGAATAACTCCAAGGCTACATGCAGGACTTTTGTAGACTTAAAAGAGGCCTAGGTTAGGGCAAATAAGAAGTCACACTTGAACTAATTAATTTAGGGGTTTGTGGGAAGTTGCTGAAATGGATTGTGTATTACTTGAGTAACAGAATGGCTAGAGTATGGTTTCAGGGTTGGTACTCAGAAGAAAGTGAGATGGAGTTGGGGACTCCACAGGGGGGCGTACTTAACCCCACTCATTTTAACATATTGATGAACATAATGGCTCGCTACGAATTTCCTGGAGACACAGGTTATAATATATGCTGATGATATACTTTTACAGTGTAAAGGTATGAGAAACATGCAAGAGGCTTTAGATGCATTGAGTACACTTTGTTGTAGAATGGGTCTTGTAATTAACAATGAAAAAACTAAATATCAGGTCAGAAATTATGAACAAGGATTTATTTTTGAACGGATTAAGGCTAGAGAAAGTTGATGTTTACAAATACCGTGGGATGTACCTTGGGTATAAGTCCAGCAGTAAAGTACGTGAGATGCAATACCTGGATAATGCCTGTGAAGGACGTTTAAGACCTTTAAGAGCTTTGGGCATGAAAGGTAAATGGCGCAGGTATTCCTATTTTAAGGAAGGTTTATATCAGTACTATTCGTTCAGTTATTGCCTATGCAGTTCCCATCCTTATAATGTACAGTAAGAAAGTTATTCAAAAGCTTGAAGTGATACAAAACGAGGTGAGAATTATTTTAGGGTGTCAACGGAACACTTGAATATAAATAATGAGAATGGAGTTAGATTTACCAAGTATAGAACATAGAGTAAAGGAACTTGCTGTAGCCGCTTCTCTTAGGACCATTAGGGGAGGAGATAATAGGTGGTCCCGTACAATAATGTGCTTAAATGAAAGAACAGATCTCGGCAATGTGTCCAAGTATGCAAGGCTACTGTATAATATGATGGAGTAGACGAATATTGCATTTTATTACAAACTTATTTAAGGGTTAGACCATGGCAGGAAGAACGCATTGCAGTAGATATTTTACAGCTTGAGGGGAGAAAAGATGATTGGCATCCCAGTTATTTACGAAATGTCTTTTTAGAGAAAATAAATAATTTTTCCAGGCGAAACACACTACATATATATTGTGACGGATCGGTATTAAGTAACGGTTAAGCGGGATGTGGTGTTTTCATAAGGGATTATTTTATCAATGAGTGTTACGCAGATGAAACAGTTTGTAAGAGAATTAGTAACAACACCTTATCCACGCTGGCTGAACTACACGCAATATGTGAAGGACTCCAGGTTGCTATAGAGAAATGTAAAGAAACGTATATTGTTGTTGATAGTTAAAGTGGATTGTAAGCTTTGTAGAGTAAAAATCCATGTAACTTTCATATTGTTCATATCTGTAAACGACTGGTCATAGCAATGCAAGAAATGGAATGTACTGTGCAGTTTGTATGGATTCCATCACATGTGGGGATTCGTTTAAATGAAATGGCTGACCATTTGGCTAGAAAAGATGTAAATAGATGTTGTTAGCAATGGAAGTATTCGAACGATAAAGAGGGAAATGAAAAGAAAAAGAGAGGAATGGGAAAAAGCAAGAAGAGAACTGACCGCCATATGTAGCGAGAGTTTTCAGGATTATTTGTGTTTTACAAAACGCCAATGTAACTTATGGGACTAACTTACCATCTGTTGACACTGTTATAATGAGACTAAGATTGGGATACAAATATTACTGGCAGGTAAGTGGAGGGGCGGGTCAACCGTGTCATCTTAGGGATGCTCAGACACTACAACATTATGTATTAGGATGTGAAAAGATCCAACCATACAGGAACAGTGAGATCACTTCTTTAAAGAAACCAGTTTGTTGGATGATTAATATGGAAAATTTTAAATAATTCTTGCAATGTATAAAAATTTTGCTCCAAGTATATGACATTTATCTTTGTGTAGGATTACATTATCTGTTCTTTTAATGTAGTACAGTGTTCATGCCAAAATTAACTATTTCATTGTTGTAAAAATAATTATTAACATTTATAAATTTTTGTGTAAGCCCCAGAAGAGGAAGTCAAAGGTGAGGGTGGGAGTAGTATACTACCCTGTCCTTATGATGTAATAGTTTTATGGTCAATAAAATATTTCAATTTCAAACTTAAATTTGTTTTATTACATTGTGTATTGTATGATGTTTGATTGTTTTATGTTATTGATTGTATTATGTTTGTATATAGGCTAGATAGTGGAATATCTGCCAGTGGGGTAATTTAGATAAAGTTTACGTTTTGGCCAATCAAGATATGATACGTCAGTATTTGGCGGTAGAGCGGTGACGTCTGTTGCAGGCTGGTCCACGGTAGTCTGTCTCGGCACAGCAGTCTTAAGATAAGTAGTATACACTCTCTGGTGTTTTGGGAGTTGGCATTGACTATTGGGATTTGTTATTTCTTGATATTGATTTTGTGTGATCTTGATGGACCTTCAGTCCTTACTCAGCCACTTCCAAACATCTTATTATTATTGTTATTTATTTTATTTTGTGTACATCTGTGGTGGTTGTGTAATGATCGTGATGACGGCTAACCTAAAAACCTTAAGGATTCATATTACGCTCAAACGTCCACAAAACCTTCTGAGTCCCCCAGTGGAAACGTCCCCCGTTTTCTGTTTCCTTGATGACGTCATCGAGAGGCCGTCTTTGTCTAAAGGGAACTTTGAATATAATCCGCGGATTTCGTAGCAGACGCTGTATGTTGGGACCTGTTGCCATCCAACCCTTTGTAATCATTTTAATTTTGCTTTTGATAGCTAAGTCAGAGCATTGTTAGTGAAGATAATAGTAGGGAATGAAACTGAGTTCATAGTCTCAGTTTCAACGTCAGAGTGTACATTAAATTAATTCATCGAAATAGAAGTAGGTGGACTCCCTGACCTATTTTGAGTGAGGGTGCCGCGGGCATTTCAACCGTTAGTAAGTGCTCGCCCTTCACCCATACAGGTAGGCCATTCCACTCTGTGTTGTAATTCGCCCTTCTTCAAGTGATTTGACCCAATTAATAGTTGATTGTGCAAGTGTTACAGTAACGTAGTTGATTTGCTTTGAGTGAAGTAATATTTACGTCTTTAACGTCCCCTGAAACGTGATGTCGTTGTCACCGTTAGTAAGTGCTCGCCCCTTCGCCCATACAGGTCCCTAACGCAGCCTAGGCCGTGTCAGTAGCGTGGATGTTGTATCCACTATGTCTGGGGAGATGTCCGAGGTCCAGTAGGATCAGTTACCTTCGTGAGACCCGACCGTCAGACACTTCAGACTACCTATGGCCCCCATAGCTAGCTCGTCTGACCCTAACGCTCAGCCCGCGAGGTGACCCCGGATCACCAAGCCACACACCACTACCAGCCCCCATCATTGGTGGATGAGTGTCTAACTCAGTAGGGCTATTCGTGTGGTGGGGTTAATCCACTGGGATCTTCAGAGTTCGTCGGAAAGTACCCCATGGTGGCAGAACCCCATGGCGGTTGCTTGAGTATCACTCCTGACGACTGAGTGTTGTAGTGGCAGTTGCCCCTGGTCTTTATGGTGCTAAGTGACTATAAGAGTTATGTGTTATTGAGTATGTCCACCCAGTAGTGGTGTGAGTGTTATTGAGTATGTCCACCCAGTAGGGGTGTGAGTATGTTGAGCCTGAGGGCATAGTACCAGATTTCGTCTGTTGGTACATATATATTCTTTCTCCTACCTCCATATTAATGTTTAAATAAATTTTGTATTTGTATATTGTGTCTATTATTTACCTACAGTATCTACCGTTATTTCTTCCTTATTACTTGATACTAACATTACATATACCCACGAGCCTCCCCTCGTCACGCTACCAATGGTAATAAGTATTAGAGTAAAGAATTGTTATAAGAGGCACAGGCCCTTATAGTTGGAATAAGTTATTAAATGTTCATATATTTATTGACTTGTTTAGGTTTTTACCTGTTAACTTGACCTTTGTTTTGGGAACTTGGGATTAATAACATCATAAATACTGATATATTTGAAAGACTTGCGTGATTTGTGTTTATGTAGCGCTGCACCCTAGGGTCGAAACACACACTAAACTCGTCTTATCTCCCACAGGTTATTATGATGCCAGGAGAGACGCCGGGGTATCCACAAGCTGGGGGGGCTCAGCCCCATCGTCCTGCACCTGACCAGATGAACGGCTGTGCCACTATTCCCTTCCATCCCGTTGTTCCGGGGGGTCCTGGGGGCTGCGGGGTGCCAGGGTCCCTCCACAGTCGAACTGATAATGAAATTATGAAACACAACTGTATGGCGAGTGTTCACCCTCCATCGCACGAGCCAGACTTTGTTAGTGAAAATTTTTGTGTGTATGGCATAGAAGATCGCGGCCTGAGGAGTTCTGAGTGTTCACTGGGTATAGGTGGGTCACGATTCTCCTTGGAGACGAGAACTGTGTCAACAGCTTCCAGTACTTCAGTGAATGGAGAATGGCGTACATCGGTCGGAGAGAGAGACACATCGCTAGGTGAGGAGAGACAAACGCACGTCAAGAAGGGCGCCACCTCAGTGCAGCGGCAGCAGAGAGTATCGGGAATAAGTGAGGGAGGGGCGCCACCAGGAAGAACTTTTAATACAGCAGCAAAGATGAACTCCTCACCATATGTTGAGAGCTCGTCTGACGGGGAGATCTCCAGTCCAGAAGGAACTTGGAGTAGCCTCCCTGATAACACCTACCTCCCACATTATGAGGGCGAGGACCCGTATATGGGTGATGCACTCTACCAAGAGGAACCAAACTGCACGGAAATAGACCCTTTTATATTTACTTTGGACAAATCGGAATTTAACATCAGGAACTCTGAAGTCCATATCGGTCCTAAAACAGTGTATGAAATGTCGCCGACACCATTGTCGAAATCGTCGCCTGCAGACCCAGGAGACCATCACTGGAAGGAGGCGTCACAGGGCAGCTCCGGGATGCTGCATATCAACCTCAATGCATCACCCGCCCACCCGATGACCGCAGAGCTACGGTCACACAGCCCACTCCTCCAGACAGTTTCGGCGCCGGATAAGTCGTCAACATCTCCTGTCACGCCTACTCGCCCTGGTCCCAGTCGATTCACGCAGCAGCCAGTTTTTAACATACCATTGGTCCCCTCGACAAACTTGGGCAGAAACCCCCTGAGCCCTCAGACACCCATTGGTAGAGGCCCCCAGGTCAGAAATCCCATGGAAGTACCCGTTACACCCCCAGGAAATATCAGCATCACGGGTGACACCAGATTAGTCGTCGGAACACAAATTGTCATCAACCATCCAGGCTACGACAATCCCCGCCAGGTAGGTACTGTATGGTTCACACATTCTGTGGCAGAGTTTTATATGAATAATTTCTTTACTATTAACACAGCGTAAAGCACTTGAACCGAAACTAAGACAGTCCACCATGTGGCGCCGCCACAGTGTCCATATAAAGTCCTAATTCCACAGACCCCCAACTCCGACCTGGAGAACTTGCTGACGGAGGTGAGGGACAAGTTGTCTACGGTGTACAGCCGACAGACTAAGACTTCCTTCCTGCCGTGGTTGAAGGGGCACCAGGTCATCCCAATGAGGGAATTCTACACAGAGTCGCGCATCCTGGCCGTGGATAAACAAGGGAAACAAACCCGACAGAGCGTCAACCTCGTCTATGACCTTGTGCACGAGAAGGAGGAGGTAGGTGAAGGAGAGAGAGACACAAGATAATACCAGTAGTACTATTAATAATAATAATAATATAATACAGTAATAATAATAAAAAAATAAAAATAATAAACACTAATACTAATAAAATAATAATAATAATAATAATAATAATAATAAAATACAGTAATAATATGTATGTTAGTGTGACAGGTCCTGGTGTTAGTGTGACAGGTCCTGGCGTTAGTGTGACAGGTCATGGAGTTAGTGTGACAGGTCCTGGTGTTAGTGTGACAGGTCATGGTGTCAGTGTGACAGGTCATGGCGTTAGTGTGACAGGTCATGGTGTTAGTGTGACAGGTCCTGGTGTTAGTGTGACAGGTCATGGTGT